GACCGAGATACCACTATGTAAAACAGAAAGGAAAAACAGCACTAAACATGCAAAATAAATATACTGGGCAATTTGTGTTTCAAGTGCTCTGGGGCACCACTAGCTTTGGCAGGTACAAGTTGTCCAGACTGCTGCTGCTGTTTGGCTTCCTTTTCTTCCCTTTAGGTGTTCAAACTAGTGCTAGAGAATTTAGGTTGATTCAGTAAATGTACACATTTACATTTGAGCTCATCCTCTAGCCTTGTATTGTCAGTAGAGAGAAAGAGGCATTTCTAGGGCACAAGTCATCCCACCTCTGAGCAGACAATTATAACAACCCAGGTGAATTATACTGTACAAGAGCTTATCTTTCTCCACTATTAAGGCAACCCAGGAAAGCTGAGATACTGAAGCTGAGAACACCTGAAGCCAGGTAGAATTAATTCCACCCCTTATTTTTAAAGGCTTTGGTTACTTCACGCAACAAATCCCACAGCTCTCACCAAACTTCCTCTCCTTTGTTCTTCTCCCATCCTTTGCAACTTCCCTTTATTTTTCTGCCTAGTTTCTGTCCTTCATCCTTTTTCAGCTAATGTAGCAATACCACAGAGTTCTTAAGAATGACAAGTTTGCTTATTGCAGTGGAAGACACAGAAAGATGAAAAGTAAAAGCATCAAAATAAAGCAACAAAACAAAATGACAAGCAAAAACTCCAAAGCGGTTTCATCAGTACCCTCGGCTTTTAAATACTGTTATATTTCATAAGAAAACTGCCTAAATTAGGCTACAGATATGATTTAAAATGCATAGAGATTATAAGACTAAATGATGCAGAAGCAGTCTGCTCTTCTGCAGAACATTAAAATGCTATATTTATAACCAGGACCCAGCAAGGCTTTATAGGAAAAGACCTAATAAACAGCAGAGAATATAGCCAACTTTCAGTTCCCCAAGTATGAAGACTTTCTTTCCCCACCCAAATCTGTCATGCAAATCATGGAGAACAATTCTGATCTGCCTTCTACATGAACTTTTGGAATTAATCAGACAGACCATGTGAGTGCTGTGTATGTTAGACATGCTATGCTGTTGTTCCGGTACTTTTAAATTAATAGCATTACAGTGCAGTTTTCATTATCAAAAATTTAACTGAGATTTTTTTTCACAGCTTTTCAATCTCACATCCCCAAAACATCAAATGTCAGCAAGGCTTTTACATAAATATCACAAAATCACATAATAGTTGAGGCTGGAAGGGACCTCTGGAGATCATCTAGTCCAAACCCTGCTCAGAGCAGGAGCAGCTAGGGCGGGTTGCTGAGTGCCATGTCCAATTGAGGTTTGAATATCTCCAAGGATGGAGACTCCTCAATCCCTCTGGGTAGCCTGTGCCAGTGTTTCATCAACCTTAGTGTGAAGAATTTTTTTTGTATGTTTAAATGGAATTTCTGATATTTCAATTTGTGCCCATTGACCCTTGTTTTTTTGCTGGGCACCACTGGGAAGAGTCTGTCTCTGTCATCTTTACTACCCCACAGCAGATGTTCATAAACATTGATAAGATTCTTCCAAGCCTTCTCTTCTTGAGACTAAACAATCCTGGCTTTCTCAGCCTCTCCTCATATGAGAGATGTGCCAGTCCCTAACCACCTTCATGGCTCTTTTCCAGACTTGATAGGTATGTCCATATCTCTCTGTTAGTGGGGAGCCCAGGATTGGACCCAGCACTCCAGATACATCTCCCCAGGGCAGAGCAGAAGGAAAGGAACTCCTCTCTCAACCTGGTGCAACCCAGGAGCCCGTTGGCCTTCTTTGCCCTGCTTAGTCGGGCGGGATGGAGTCTCTTCCCAACAGTCTTTGATCCTCACAGAGGGTCATGGTCATAAAAAACAAATCCCTGCCATTGACATCAGCTGTGCAATCAGATCTTGATTCAAAGGATCCATCCACTCCTTTTGAAGACTTTTCCCTTCACCAACCCGATCCATTTGGCCCCCTGTGCCCGTGCCTGGAGTCATGTAGTCATGCTCAATACACTCCAAGTCTCCCCTGGTAGCAGCACTGGTGTCCACCTGGAAGAGCATCAAGGCTGGACATGCCACATCAGTCTCTCCACAGTGTCCCAGATCTGAGCCCCCAGCAAGCAGCAAACCTCCTTAGAAAGCAGTTCAGTCTGTCCTGGTTTGAGTGACAGGATTAATTTCTCTTTCAGTAATTTTACTTTTTAGTAAGGCCTCTTCTATTAACAGGGAAAAACTGCATTTTTAGAAGACTCCAGTGTCTGAATTTGTGGAAATGTTTACTTTATAGCCAGCTGTGGGATGTGGGTTTCAAGGTCTCGGTGTTTTCGGGCCTGGCCAGGTGTGGGGACGAGGAGCTGGCCAACGGAATTATTTCACATCATGAATGTCACATTCAATATAAATTAGAAATTTTGGTGAGCAGCCTCTCCTCTCCTGTGATAGCTGCGATGCTGAGAACTTCTTGACCCAGTGCTGGACCCCTGAGGCCTTCTCTTCCTCCCGCTTGCAGCGTCCAACATTTGCTGTCCACTGCTGGGAGTGCACAGCTTCCTGCTGATAGAATGGGCTGAGTATAAACCTCATATATTTTATATAGGTATCAGGATCAATACTGATTCTTTAGTATTAATAATGTTAATTACTTTGTCTTATTCTATTAAATCTGTTTATATTTCAACCCTCAGGTTTCCTTGCTTTTTTCCCATTTCCCTTTCCTGTGTGGGGAGGGGACACCAGGTGATAGAATAATTGTCTAAATGACAATAAATTGTTGTGGCTTCTTCAAACCATAACAAGGTCGGTACATGGGGGCCTTCATGCCCAAGGACTGCAGCAATATTAATATCCAGCAGGATCTTTTTGATCAAAAGTTTGCTTTGGTTATTGCAGTAAACAGGATTTTAGCATCTTAGAATCCCATCAGTACAAACTCTTCCAGTTGCCCTCAGGGAAGGAAGGGGTATCAGTCCCTGACAGACTGTCCTGAGAAACTCTATCTGGGAACATGCAGAGAAAATGTGAGATGCTGCAGCCGTTGGCCAAAACTCAAAGGTCTTCAGCTATAATATCCTTCCCTTCCCCCTTTCCCCCTCTCAGCTCTAGCCCCAAGCCAAAGACACAGAGGAAACAGTACAGGAGTAAAGAGGGAAAATGATCATTACAAAAAAGTTTTAAATATACACCTTTTCTTATCAATTTACTTAATAGAGCTTGTTCATATCCCTATTTTGACATTCTTTAGACAGCTTTTGCGATGCAGCTGATTAGTCTTTGAATGCCAGCCACTTCAAATACCGTGTTTCGAACTATAATTTTGAAACGCTAAGTTATATAAAACCTTAAATTTTTTTGCTTACTCAAGGTCGATAGCTGCAATTCTTCCCACTCATATTCTGCACTGCTATGTGATGCCAAGGTACCTGCCTTCAGGCAAAAGTGTTCTCCCTGTTGCTGGAGAAAACAAAGATTTAGAAAAATGTATTGAGAAGAGCAAGTAGTCTATATCCATGTCTGTGCTTATTGAAGGTTCACCATCGTGGGAGAAATCAGGCTGCAAAGGAGGAAGGAACTAGCTCTCCTCTACCAGGTCACACTCTGGCTAGAGCTGCTGAGAACGTTTTTTAAAGGGCAAGGTCAGAGGTTAAATTGATAATTGCCAATTCACTGAAGATTAAATTGCTCATCCAAAAGAGTTAGTCTTAGCAAATGTTTCAACCCAAAAAAAGTGCATGGGACAAAAAGTTCAAAAATTGCCAGGGTTTAATAATAAAATGCATGATTTGAGCTTTATCATGATTTTAAATTACAAAATTAGAATGAATGCTAGTAAAGACATAGTGAAAGTAAGGCCTCTTCTATTAACAGGGAAAAACTGCATTTTTAGAAGACTCCAGTGTCTGAATTTGTGGAAATGTTTACTTTATAGCCAGCTGTGGGATGTGGGTTTCAAGGTCTCGGTGTTTTCGGGCCTGGCCAGGTGTGGGGACGAGGAGCTGGCCAACGGAATTATTTCACATCGTGAATGTCACATTCAATATAAATTAGAAATTTTGGTGAGCAGCCTCTCCTCTCCTGTGATAGCTGCGATGCTGAGAACTTCTTGACCCAGTGCTGGACCCCTGAGGCCTTCTCTTCCTCCCGCTTGCAGCGTCCAACATTTGCTGTCCACTGCTGGGAGTGCACAGCTTCCTGCTGATAGAATGGGCTGAGTATAAACCTCATATATTTTATATAGGTATCAGGATCAATACTGATTCTTTAGTATTAATAATGTTAATTACTTTGTCTTATTCTATTAAATCTGTTTATATTTCAACCCTCAGGTTTCCTTGCTTTTTTCCCATTTCCCTTTCCTGTGTGGGGAGGGGACACCAGGTGATAGAATAATTGTCTAAATGACAATAAATTGTTGTGGCTTCTTCAAACCATAACAAGGTCGGTACATGGGGGCCTTCATGCCCAAGGACTGCAGCAATATTAATATCCAGCAGGATCTTTTTGAAATGTTTACTTTATAGCCAGCTGTGGGATGTGGGTTTCAAGGTCTCGGTGTTTTCGGGCCTGGCCAGGTGTGGGGACGAGGAGCTGGCCAACGGAATTATTTCACATCATGAATGTCACATTCAATATAAATTAGAAATTTTGGTGAGCAGCCTCTCCTCTCCTGTGATAGCTGCGATGCTGAGAACTTCTTGACCCAGTGCTGGACCCCTGAGGCCTTCTCTTCCTCCCGCTTGCAGCGTCCAACATTTGCTGTCCACTGCTGGGAGTGCACAGCTTCCTGCTGATAGAATGGGCTGAGTATAAACCTCATATATTTTATATAGGTATCAGGATCAATACTGATTCTTTAGTATTAATAATGTTAATTACTTTGTCTTATTCTATTAAATCTGTTTATATTTCAACCCTCAGGTTTCCTTGCTTTTTTCCCATTTCCCTTTCCTGTGTGGGGAGGGGACACCAGGTGATAGAATAATTGTCTAAATGACAATGTGAGCAGCCTCTCCTCTCCTGTGATAGCTGCGATGCTGAGAACTTCTTGACCCAGTGCTGGACCCCTGAGGCCTTCTCTTCCTCCCGCTTGCAGCGTCCAACATTTGCTGTCCACTGCTGGGAGTGCACAGCTTCCTGCTGATAGAATGGGCTGAGTATAAACCTCATATATTTTATATAGGTATCAGGATCAATACTGATTCTTTAGTATTAATAATGTTAATTACTTTGTCTTATTCTATTAAATCTGTTTATATTTCAACCCTCAGGTTTCCTTGCTTTTTTCCCATTTCCCTTTCCTGTGTGGGGAGGGGACACCAGGTGATAGAATAATTGTCTAAATGACAATAAATTGTTGTGGCTTCTTCAAACCATAACAAGGTCGGTACATGGGGGCCTTCATGCCCAAGGACTGCAGCAATATTAATATCCAGCAGGATCTTTTTGATCAAAAGTTTGCTTTGGTTATTGCAGTAAACAGGATTTTAGCATCTTAGAATCCCATCAGTACAAACTCTTCCAGTTGCCCTCAGGGAAGGAAGGGGTATCAGTCCCTGACAGACTGTCCTGAGAAACTCTATCTGGGAACATGCAGAGAAAATGTGAGATGCTGCAGCCGTTGGCCAAAACTCAAAGGTCTTCAGCTATAATATCCTTCCCTTCCCCCTTTCCCCCTCTCAGCTCTAGCCCCAAGCCAAAGACACAGAGGAAACAGTACAGGAGTAAAGAGGGAAAATGATCATTACAAAAAAGTTTTAAATATACACCTTTTCTTATCAATTTACTTAATAGAGCTTGTTCATATCCCTATTTTGACATTCTTTAGACAGCTTTTGCGATGCAGCTGATTAGTCTTTGAATGCCAGCCACTTCAAATACCGTGTTTCGAACTATAATTTTGAAACGCTAAGTTATATAAAACCTTAAATTTTTTTGCTTACTCAAGGTCGATAGCTGCAATTCTTCCCACTCATATTCTGCACTGCTATGTGATGCCAAGGTACCTGCCTTCAGGCAAAAGTGTTCTCCCTGTTGCTGGAGAAAACAAAGATTTAGAAAAATGTATTGAGAAGAGCAAGTAGTCTATATCCATGTCTGTGCTTATTGAAGGTTCACCATCGTGGGAGAAATCAGGCTGCAAAGGAGGAAGGAACTAGCTCTCCTCTACCAGGTCACACTCTGGCTAGAGCTGCTGAGAACGTTTTTTAAAGGGCAAGGTCAGAGGTTAAATTGATAATTGCCAATTCACTGAAGATTAAATTGCTCATCCAAAAGAGTTAGTCTTAGCAAATGTTTCAACCCAAAAAAAGTGCATGGGACAAAAAGTTCAAAAATTGCCAGGGTTTAATAATAAAATGCATGATTTGAGCTTTATCATGATTTTAAATTACAAAATTAGAATGAATGCTAGTAAAGACATAGTGAAGTGGTGAAAGTCAAAACAAAACAATTGCAGATGATCTAAATGGAATGTTTGGATTTACTCCATCTGTGATTTTTTGGGGGAAAAGAGGAGGGAGGGATTACAGTCTACGAGAAAGGGTTATTGTCTTTTCCTCCCTATTTGGGATGCTGTGCTCTCACATGGCTCAGAACCGTTTCCTGCCCAGTCCTGGGGATGAATATATATCCTGTCCCTGGCAGGGGTGCTACTGTGGGCATTTTTAGCAGTAGGAGGGAGTTCTGGCAGTGGCTAGTACACCCTATTACAGTGAAAAAAACAAACCAACCAAATCAAACCAAACTCCAAACCATTAAATCTGTGAAGGTCAAAGGACCTCCAGTAGCTTCAGGGTGTGAGCTTCCTCCTTGCATGTATAAAGTAACTATGAGAAAGCTGGGCAGCCTCTAGGCAATGTATTATTTACATCCTTATAAGACTATAGCAAAACCCTTGGCTGTAACTACCAAGTTCCATGGCATTTTATTTTATCATGTGAAGTGACCAATAATACTAGAAACGAGGACACCTCTGTATATAGTTTTACTGTCATGATAGAGTTAGATACATTAGGGACACCCACAGGCACTACAAGAGATATAGCTTTTTCTGTTTAATGTCTTTTTTTCTTATGACTTAACTGATTTATATGCATTATAAAAAGATTTGTTCTAATATAGTAATTTAGTAATTTATCAGTTTCCACATACAGCTTCTTTATAAAATCTATTCTACAGTGATATTTCAGTTAGCACAGTTGGTTTTTTTCCAATACAATTATTTCACAGAAACATTAAAAAAATCCAAAAACTGCAGTGAGTTCTAACCTCCAGCAATGACCCTAAAAAGCACCAAGTGCACTCTACTTGAGATTTTAACTTCTGTACTACCTCTAAAGCACTTGTACATCAATTTCTTCATCCGTTTCAATACACCTGTATCATTTACTTTTTCACCCAGTTTATGACTCCCCAGTGCATTCCTAATTTCTTCATCTCTCCCCTAGGTTGGTTTTTTTGTGTGTTTGGTTTGGGTTTGTGTTTTTTTTTCCCTGTTATTTTTGGTTTATACCTTCTGTATCTATGAGGAATCTCTATAATGTAAGACAAGGGTCATGATTTAGCCCCTGAAGAGTTAAAAAAATTGAGAAATGAAAGATGTTGAAGGTTTATTATGTGAAAAAGTATGTAATCACATTTCAGCATTTCACTTTTTCCAAACCATGTCATTTTTCTTTGTCTTTGATTACAGTATGTCAAAGATTCCACATATTGTATTTCTTTAGTTTGCTGGTACCCCTTTGATTGCAGGGTGTCAAAGATTACACATACTGTATTGCTTGAGTTTGCTGGCACCCCTGTCTGCAAATGTGTTCCCTGAAGGAAAATTTGCTCTCATTTCACAAAAGCAGAAGCGAATGCAAAACAGAATCTGTGAGAGGTGTCCATTCAGCTCTACTCAGGAATTTACATGATTTTCCACGTGATAGTTCAGCAGAACTTTCTATGCTGTCCGTGGCACTGTTTATAAACTACAACTTGCTTTCTGGGATGTTGTACTTTCCTTTAGAAAACAAGTAGTTCCTCGAAAAGTAAACAATACGTGGAAGAACTAACAACAGCTCTGCACTGTATCATTCATTGGCTAGCCACGTAATTTGGAATAATCACTCAGTACGAGTTGAAAGAATTGCTATTTGCCACAAGAAAGCAATTCAGTCTTTTAAAAGGCATACTCTGGATTCACTGTTTTCATTATGTACTGGTAACCCAGTACTTCCACACAGGATTTCACCACGGTTTGAACCTGTACTGAGGAAAAGGCATCTCTTTGTGGCACTCAGGGAACTTGGGCTTTTTACTCTGTAAACAGTTCAGTGAGGGCGTTCTCATTTTCAGTGACTGATGATAACTTCCATAGTGACTGTAATTCAGCCAGCTACCACAGACAGAAGCAGACAAGGAGCACTCATATCATTCCTCACCGTAACTCAGTGCTCACAGGAGGAGCGCTGCCAACAGACTTCAGGAGAGGGTAACCTTGGGCAATCAGTGCTTCGGAAAACAGTCAGGGGTGAGCTGACCTGCAATCAGCTATGGACAGAAGAGAACGTGTGGTCATTGCTTTTCATACATCACAGGTTTGCAATGCTGAGTCCCGTAAAACTGAGCACTTGGTAGGTGCCAAGCATGCCTGGTACTCTGAAGGGGTGTCTAGGTGTTCCTGTAAGCAGATCCAGGCCCATACTAAGGACCTTTTTGCATTTTTAGTACAAAAGGGACTGAAAGCAGCTTAAACGTTCAATGAATTGCCTGTCACAGAGGAGTTCATGATCCAAAGTAAGCATGCCAAGCTCCATGACCTACACATTTTGCTAAGCTAAAGCACTGTCGCTTTAGATTAGCTGTAGCTTGAACGCAGCTCCAGCATGCAGACTGCACGCTGTGCTCAGGAAGATGGAGCCCACATGTGAGTGCTGAACCCATTTGTTGCAACAGGCTGTTCCAGGAATACTGGCTTAGCTTTCTGCAACAGCTTCAGCGCCTGACCTTCCTCAGCCCCCTCCAAGTACAAACCTAGGCCTGTGCTCCAGCCCGTGGCTTCTGCCTGGAGACAGCCCCTGCCTGAGCCTCCCTCCACAGCCAACGTGCACGTCAGTGATGCAAGCTGCGGGGAGAGGGACTCAGAAGTGATAGCTGATAAGACCTCTGCACTCAAGGGAGAGGTCAGATTCCCTGATATTTAACAGCTCCACGAGTCAGACACTAAACTAGCATGTGAGTGACCCAGTTCCAACTCTTCTTCCTCTGATTTGGAGCAGTGATTTGACCGTCCCCAGGAGACTTGCCCTAGCTTCTGTGCCATAGGGCAGTTCTCCTAGTGTTTCTCAGCAAAGCTCTTCCAGCTTGGAGAAAACACTGTGTCTCTCTGCACGTTCAGTGACCACATCTGCACATTTCTTACACACATGTTTTAAGGCTTTTAAAAAAGCTTCAAGATGTTATATTGTGAAAAATAACACAACTTTATGAGGAAAATATACCTGTGCCAGTGTCTAATGCATTCTCAGGTGATTGATTCCCATTATTCAAAAAATGGTGTTAGTTTGACTTCCTGTGAATACCCAGGCAGTACTCCAACTATGCAGCCAGATTGAAACTAGAAGTTGCAGAGGATGCTTTAAAGCACGGGAAACACGCAGGAGGATGAAAATTCAAAGCAAAGAAAAATAAACAGGTCATTAAAGCTCAAATACAGGCTTAATTCCAACTCAAGTCTAACTTTAAAGTTTCTTATTGTCAGGACTGCACAGATGCCGGGATATGTTGAAACGTTTTGACAGCAAAATAACCCGAACTAAAAAGCTTGCATGTGTATAGCATTCGGGTATTGTAAGAAACAGGCTTGCCATGTGGTGCCACATGGAAGCAGGACTGGTGTCCCTGTGTCCTCCCCCTTGTCTTCTTCTACTTAGTTGTTCACAGAAACTGCTTCTTATTGAAAATAAGTTTTATTTATTGAAAAATGTTTCCGTTGTCCTTCAAAAGCTGGTAAAGAGCGCTAGTGTAAGGGCTTGGGTTTTATTTTGTCTCATGAGAAGGTGTTCACTTACTCGACTAATACAAAACCCCTAGAAGACATCTGCGAATTTTGGATTAAAAGGCTTCAATCTAGAAGTTAAAGTTTCCAGCTTAGACCTGTCCCCACTCTTTGGCCCCTGCTGTTGACTAGTTTGCTCTCCGCTCAACACTGCCGGCTTCTGCACCACATCTCCCTTCTTCCATACATCACTCCTCTCTAGGGGTCACTGGGTCTCGCCTTAGGGTTCAGCATGTCAGGAGGTGAGGTGGCAGCTGCGGAAGGACAGGCAGGGCTCGCCGCCGCCTCGTGAATCCCTTGTTTACAGATGACTGCCACTTTAGCTGATTGCATAAAGGGAACGCCTGCAATAGCAGACAATTGGTATTGCAATAAAAAACAATCGATCGCTCATTTTTATCAAATGCTTTCTGTATACCTCTGCTCTTTTCATACTCCCAAGCACTGGACAAATCAGACAAACCAAAAAATTAGCAACTAGTACAATTTTAAAAGCTGAGGGCTACAAGGGGGCTACAGGCACTTTCATTTTAGAATCGCATAACATCTCCATCCCTGTTTGTTTCTCCCTAATTCTTATCCCTCGGACTACACTGTGCAACCTTTGCCTGGATCCCTTTTTTGCCTCCTTACACTTTCACTATTTCCAGCTATTTTAAATTGTACATTATAAAAAAAAAGCCCACCTCCCACAATGCAGTGTGCTGGGGAACAGGGCATCCTTAAGTTCCCTGCATAAACCTCTGTCTTGCAGATGGGATTTCTCTACCACAAAGCTTTTGAGGGCTGAGATTTTACTGGCATACACTGGAACAAAACTGGTGTGGCATTGTACAGTGAAGTACAGGACCCTTTATCCTCTGCTTGTTCTTAACATAGATTGCCTTGCAGGTACTAGGCAGATCCAACACTTTTTCATCTTCTTTTGTTTTCTGCTGTCATTTCTATTATTTAAATAGCTATATTTAGACTGCAGATTGCTTTAGACAAGTAGATGCAAGAATTTAGTGAAATGTAGAGAATACACATTAAATATCTGCTAAGTAACCTCCGTAAACAGCTCTTAAGCCATCATACGGTGTGTCTTGTCCATCCCACCTGCCTCCAATAATGTTTGAAATCATGGGCTCATTCCAGCCAAGGGGAGCTAAAAGTCCAAAAGACATTTACAGTTCTGTAAGTCTAGTGTAGATCACAGATGTCTTCTCAAGTGTGCTCCACGCGATTACTCAAGACCGAGTGCATGGGAGAGAAACCCTAGGAAGGAATGAGCTGTATGAAAGGTTTCACTCGGAGCTTGCAGTCAGGCACAAGAGATGTTTGTAGGAAACCAGGCTGCTTAGGTCTCAGGCAGGCAGGTACGGCAAGTTAAAATGGGAGGGCTGAAGCTGTTGCTGCCTCTGGCTGTCCACCCTGGCCAAGGCAGGTACAATCGAAACTCTGATGAAACAGTGTTTGAACCACCATGGTTTTCAGCCAGGACTTTTCAGGTGAGGTGGTGCCGACTGTGGTTTTATGGTACCTGTAGCCTTTGTGAACAGAGTTTGCGTAAGTCTGTACCTATCTGAAGAGACTGCTGCTATTTTCTCTCTGGTGCCTTCCGAAGCCGCCCCAGCTCAGGTTAAAAGTGGCACTAGAGTGGTCAGGGTAGCACTACCCCCCGACTCCCCAGCAGGTCCGCCCTCGCCACCCTCCCGCCGGGCAGGAGGCGCTTTTCTGCGCCATGGTGCGGCCCACGGCGCGGGGGGAACACCCTGGGGGATGTGGCACGGTTCTCGCCAGGCCCGGTGGCTTTGCGGTCAGGCCGGCGGTCAGGCCGCCACCCAGGCGCGGGGCACCGGCGCGCCTTTCCCCTCGGCGAGGACGAGCAATCGGCCACAGCTACGTGAGAGGACGCACGTCCCGGGGGACGGACGCAACCGGGCCTTCCTTTCCCTTCCCGTCCCGTCCCGTCCCGGCGCGGTGAGGCGGCACCGGCCCAGCGGGTAAAGGGCGCCCGGGCAGGGCCCCACCGCCTGGGCCAACGGGCCGCCGCGCGCCCGAGGCGGGGCGGGCGGTGCGCGCGCGCGCGTTGCCAGGAGACGCGGGGCGCGCGGGGGGGGGGGAAGAGGTGGGGGGGGGGGGGGGGGGGGGGGGGGGTACCAGCAGCCAAAGGTCTCCCGAGAACTGTAAAAGTCATTGGGAAAGGTGTCTCTTCCGGTTTTTTGTTTTGTTTTTTTGCTTAGAATGCACCGCATCCCCTCTGCTAGAATATAAAGAAAAAAAGGGTTTTTATACAGCAGTACAAG